TAACGAGCTAAAACTCAGACTAGTAAACCTAGAGCACAAACAAATATTTACACACATACATATGTACATACATATGTATGCATACATAGCACATACACACAAACACACTTGCATATACAAGTAAATAAATACATAAGAATTATTTAAGTCCATATTTAACAAATCACTTATTAACTACTTTTCAGACTTAAATTTGTATCGTCTCCAGCATCCAATCCACAAAATGTCCTACTCTGGTATAAACACCTGGCCAGCCTTCTAAGCCACACGACGCTGGTCCAAATGAAACGATGCCAATCAAAAAATAATAGGTACGTCCTCTGCTTGTCGTGCCTAGTCCAATTAGTGGTCCACCCGAATCACCTCTGCAGGAATCCACACCTTGTTTACCGCCAGCACACATTTGCGTGCTCTCCAGTAGAATACTTTGAGGACGATAGACATGACGACACTTCTCCAACGACACTCCGGTTAGTTCAGCTTTCAATTTAACATTACTACTGGACTTTGACTCTGTTTTGCCCCAACCGGCCACATCCATGATGATATCATCGAAAGTGGCGGTACGTAAATTGCTATTCACTGGCAAGCAAATGGGTCGTACGAAGTCTGTGAAAGTGACGGTTTCCTTCAAACGCAAAAGTGCGATGTCGTTAATTTGATTTATCGAATGAGGATCATATTGGGGATGTGGTATAGCACTTTCAATGGGCACATCGATATGTCTTGGCGCACAATCCTTTTCACCGCGTGCATCAACTTCACAATCGGGATTTGTTGTGGTATCCCATTCGCCCAAGCGCACTGAGGTTATCTGCCATTCGCTAGGCAAAGCTCTACCATTGACGCAATGCGAAGCAGTGACAACGTAACGAGAGTTGATCAGCGAACCGCCACAGTGATGACCGGTATGACCGAATGCTGGAAAGAAAGACATTTTATTTATGTTATTTTGATTTATGTTACTTAGACTGTCTGTAAAAATTAAATGTTCTTTGTGGGAAAATTGAAATGGCTTTTGGCTTTTTTAAACTACTAAACTAATCGTGAGACATTTCATTGAGTTCCAACATCAAAATCCGGCATATGAAAGTTTTCCCAATAGCCTGCGAACAATTAAAGGTACCTCCATTTGTATGAGAAAACTTGGATTTGCGCGCCAATTAGACCCCTTTCAGACACGTCAAGTCTTGATTTCAAGTCTGCTCGTTCGTAGGCGAAGGAGGTAAAACGAATGTACTCTTCCCCTCTCTTCTCACCTCCTTCGCCTACGAACCGAGCTCACTTGAAAGCAAGACTTGACGTGTCTGAAAGGGGTCTTATTCGCCTGTCACACCATCGCGTTTCGGATCGCGATATTTGGATCGTGATCCATATTGATGGATTTCAAAATATTTAGAAATCTTGTGATATTGATCGCGATCCATCAATGCTACACGGCACGATCCAGGATCGCGATCCAAATATCGCGATTCGTATTGATGGTGTGACAGGTGCCTAAGATCCACGATTGAGAGAATACAAAGGTTGCGACGATCTCGGACCGCTACCCCTCTCATAACGAATTTGACAGAGTCGTTGTTTGCATGACGTCACACTTGTGCAACTTGTTTACGTTTTCCTTGCAATCTTTTTTCTTCTACCATTCTTGCTCATGTTTTGGCATTTCTCTCTCGCAATTGCACCAGTGTGACGTCACACAAAAGTTTTTCTCAAAAATCATCTCTGATCGGCGCAATCTTGTATTCTATCACTCTTGCCTAAGATCGGTGTTATGCAGAAATTTTGTTTGGCAAAAAGCGAGCAATTGTTGTTGCAGCAAACTCGTAGAGAGTGAGTTTGGCGACTCTCACAGCAAAAAATTTTATTTGGCCAAGCTGGCGCCAAACTGTTGTAAAACCAGTGTTGCCATTTTGGCGCTTTTGGAGCTAGATTAAGCTCTTTATTTTATTTATTTAGCTCCTAGATCTCTTTTAGCTCTTTTCCAAATTATCTAGCTCTTTTATAGCTCCAGAATGTTTTAGTTGTATTTGGTAATATATTAAAATTAAAAATCTACGTACGCGGGAGCACACAAACTATACCGGGCAGTAATTCAAGCTCCGATAAGCTCAGATGGTGCATTCTCTCTCAGGCGGCAACGGTTGAAAACGAAAGCCAAAACGTAAGCGTTGATAAAATTACAATTTTCGAAATGCAGTGGAAAAATATACATACATTTATATACACGAGAAAATACAAACTTCAACATAAACTTTTGGATCTTGGTTAAAGAATTCAGGAAAGGAAATACAACTTTTCAGACAAATTTTGCGAAATAACGATTCTTAACCCGAGTTTTTATGGTCAATTCAAATATCTGAAATTGCAGATTGTAGAGTATTTTTAGTTAAAAAGCTCTTTTTTCGACTGAGCTCCAAACTCAATTTTTTCTGGCAACACTGGTTCTGGAGATAAAACGTTAATGGTTTTTGAAAAAAAAAAACGATTTCAGCAGATATTCCCTTTCGAATCCAAGTAGTTTCAATTAGACATTGGACTTTTAGCTTAAATATTTCATATTTGCGACGTCGATACTTATAAAATCGAAATGTAACACTGATCAGACAGTGTTAGTTATCCACCCAAAACGAAAGAGATTGCATAAAAATACTTCGACCTAACAAATCGTAAGAATGTCTTCCATTCTTTATCTATGAAATTTTCTTTTATATTATGTAACTTACGTTTTGTGTATTCTATCAAAGCCATCCAAGGATATTCATCAATCTTTGTCGCGTTACCGCCATAAATTCGACTTGATGTCATCTGTCCACATTGGCCGGGACGTGGTAATTTTCTTATTTTTGGATATTCCGTAGAAGTTTTATCTAAGAGTACAGCCTTTTTCACAGCTTGAGACGATGGCACAGATTTCTTGGCAATTGGGGGCTGAATAGAAGGATTTGTGTTTTGTTCAGGGCAGCATATCTGAAAAAAAGTAATGTAGTGAAAATAAAAATCTTGTTGGCACGGCGACTTCTAGAATTAGGCCTACCGAATTTACATTAGACATTGGAATGATAATAATGAGGAGAAATGGCCTACCTATAAATAATTGGCATAGCGAAACGGACTTAACTAACGTTAGTTCACCGGTTTATTAATGGAAATTTTTTTAATTTCTTCTTTTTTTATCATTTAATGTCTAGTGGAAATTAGGTATAATTTTATTTAGCGTTTGTTTTCAGTTTTACGAAGTAATATTGCACTCACCAAAACTTTTCCATTAAGATAACCACATTGACTCTGACTCAAGTACAGTCTATTCACATCGTGTAGTGGTTGGCTCAAGAGCAAAGTGTACAGCTTTTTGCACTCTTGCAAAATTATGCAAGACCCACGTCTGCCATTTGGCGTAATGCAACGTCCGAAATTCCGTTTATCGACCGCTTCATTAGGGTAGTTAAGCTCTGAAAAATATTGAATTTTTTTTTACAATAATAAATATGTATGTATTATTATAGTTGATTGAGGTGTCTCATTAAAAGTATATGGCAGAAATACGATAATCTAAAAATTTTAACTAATGCCGGTTTTCCACTAGAAATTGAATGACAAAAAATTTAAAGGCAAAATTGGACATTAAAAAATACTTCAGGGCTCGAATCGTAACATCCGTTCACGGATCGAAAACCATACGAAAGAAAATTACGTGATACCGTCAGTCGTATAAGCTGAATTGGATAAAGAGTACGCTCACGTATGTCATAATACGATATCGTATGTGACGATTCGAGCCCTGGTATTGTGTTCATAAAAATAGTTTGTTTCCTCAAAGAATTTTTCACATCTTAATCACGATTTTTTCACATCTTAATGCTTAGTGGAAATCCAGAAAAATTTTTTTTATTCATAAACATTTTATAATGTACTCATTCTTTTGTAGCTGTAGATTGGCCGTACCTAAGATTCGTCCTCAGTTACACGTAAATAATTCTACAATCGCATCATCCGAATACTATTTTTTTTCACCAAACAAATTACAGGCAAGACATCACTCAGTGATTTCTTTTTCAAAAGAAAGCACCGAAGAGTATTAAACCCTTAATTATCATTATTTAGTTATAATAAAAATTCTCAATAATGTGGTCTAATATGCACCGCCATTCACTTCAAATGTGGAGGCTTTGGCAAATTCGCATTGAGATTATGTACATCACCCAATCCACATGATTTAAATTTGTACATATGTATGTATGTATGTAGTATGTTCGTAATACTTACGCGCTGTCGGCAAACTGCTGGAAAATGCTTCCATCAAAAGGACACTCAGTAAAACTTGTCTTAACATTTTGAAGTCGCTGTGATCACTGGTTTAACGATGGGTTTTTCCACCGTCTTTATATAAAATATTTAGTGCACCTGTACGCGATATTGAAGGTCATTTAATGGCTGTTGTTATAAATTGTTGTTGGATATGTTCACTCGCTTCGAATGTCATCGCGAAAACAAATTTAGTGACACAGGTAGGCAACTAACGAGGCGCTAAGTAAGATACCTCGCTACGAACGCGAGGAATCGTGACAAGTGAGGCATATGCGCATGCATCCTCGTACAGTATATATGTATGAATGTAAATGCATACCAAAAATATCCTTCTCTATAATTTAAAGAAACATTCTTTGGCTTTTCTCGCGAGCAACATTCATCGTTGGTTTTAGTCCCTTCGTTGAGCAGCGCATTTTTTCATATACCAAAACACATATACATATTTACAATTGCTTATGTATACGTATATGAATTATTATTAAGTATCTAAATATAAAATAAAATTATTTATGTTGTCAAATTAAAATAAACTCTAATTAAAAATATGCGTATGTATACTATATTAAGTATCATTCAGTTGACTGCCTACGGCTGAATTGTGGCTTGAATCCAATCCATAAAATCGCCTACTCTTACTCGATGAGTGCCATCCAGGGGAATTCGTCAATTTTCGTCGCGTTACCACCGTATATGCGATTCGACAACACATTACCGCACTGGCCGGGCTGTGGCAGCAGATTACTAGGCGTAACAGGTGGTGATTGGGTGGTAGATGCAGTCGAAGGTATTTTAATGAAATTTCGGTAACGATCAGGACAACAAATCTAGAGAAAGATAGTTAAGGTGTTTTTACTTTACGTATCTAAAAAAAATTGCTATAAATAAATAAAGACTTATGGCATAAAACATTGCACACTTCCTTTAAAAAAATGTTCGAAATATAGCAAATACTTACCAAAACTTTGCCATTTTGGTAGCCACACTGACTACGGCTCAAATATAGTCGATCTGAATCCTGAAGCGGGGTTGTAAGTAGCAAGTTGAACAAGTATTTGCAATCGTCCAGAATGATGCAGAGGGCGCGCTCACGGTTCGGTGTGATACAACGTCCAAAATTAGGCACATCAGCATCCTCATTGGGAAAGTAAAATTCTGTGGGCCACAACAAAAAATAAAAGTAAAGGGTAAACATAAATTCTTCCATATAAGTACATAATACTCGTATTCATACATACATGAATATGTATTTAGTTATGGATATGCATACAAACATAAATAAATATGTACAAATCAATGGTTCTCTATAATAACGACAGAACTCTAAATTCAGAAATCAAAATCCTTAATATTGTTAAGCGTTTTATGTCTCTAATCCTTGTCTAATCCAGGTATTATCCTTACTTAGGTAAGTAGCAAGGATTACTAAATAAAGTAATAAGAATTAGGCAAGGATTCGAGACAGGAGGCACTTAACTAGTTAACTATAGTAAGGTTTTTTTTTTTAATTTGAATTGTGCCATTTTTGCACAGGACCAACGATATGTGACAAAGTATGTTAGAATGAAGTGAGAAAGCGGATGAGTTTCAATATATCGTCACCATCAATGCCACAGGCCCCAATTAGCAATGTTTAAACTTTTATGAGATGCTAAATAACAAATTCTTAAATTAACACAGAAAGTTCTTTCAGAGCTAAAGAAAACTTGCTTTTACAAAATTGTAAATTTTATTGTGGATTACGGTAAAATACCCATTCAGTAAAAATGTTTGTTCGAAAAACTTTTTTCTTATGGCATGGCAGCTTTAGAACTGCAGTTAACAAAACGAAGATTTTTGTTATGTTCGTTTGGACAAAAAACTTGTAAAACTTGCATTTCATTTGGAGGAGGAGTTGCGAATTCATGCTGGAAAATTTTTGCCAGAAAGAATTTACCAGCAGGATTGTGGTACCTGGTTGCATTTTTGCCAACAATAATTTGAATCAACAAGTTCATTAATTCCAATGATTTAAAAGTTACTCGGCTGAAAAAGCTGTATTCGTAATCGGAACGCAGTCGATATACACTGAGAAAAAGGATTAGTTTCGACAACTAAAGATATTTAGTTCCCGAATTTCGACAATATTTGGGAACTGTTACCAAGGATTAGGAAATATTACCATGGGTTGGTAATTATAACTAAATATATTAAAGCTTCTAATATTCATCTAGGTTGTACCAAATCGTTAATTTAGTTGAAGGGTTAGTAAATACTAATAAATATATTTTTGAAGCATATTTCTACAAACGTATGGTTCATAACAGGATGTCATTAAGCTCTGCTAATACAGATAATCTTTCTTTCAACACATGGTTTATATGATAGACAGACGGAGAAAATTAATTTGAATTAATAAGCATAAATGCAAATTAAAATTTTACTCTTACAGACGGCAGTAATGCGAATAAACCAGCCGCATTCTTCCATGTAAATTTGCAAAGAAGCAACACGGTGCCACTGCTAAGGGAGCGGTGCGAGAGAGACAACTGTCAGTTTATCGAACCTTGTATTAGTTGCGTTCGCGTAGCTGTTAATTGTTCATGTTTAACCAAAACTTAAAAGTTTTTGCGTTCGCGTACGCAAAGTAGGGGAAATTGAGAGAGCAAAGTGAAATTTCATTTTTAGGGGAAGCTGCTGGTTTCTGCTGGAAGAATTTTTGCCAACAGCAATTTGCCAACAGGAAAACAGCTGGTTGGCATTTACGCAAATCACAAAATTGAATTTGATGGTTTGGAAGTTAAAAATTACAAAATGCGACTAATTAAACTTGTAAGAAATAAGTAGTTATATGTTTAGTCAATAAACTGTATCAGTATAACGCTTTGTGATGACTTTTCGTACGTTTTAAGTTTTACACTTTTGAATGTAAACAAAAATTATATCAGCTGTTCGTCTAACTTGCAAGTTTCTGCCAATTTTCTGTTCACGTACTATTTGGGATATTTTTCTCTTGTGAGAGAACAGATGACATTTCGACAGAATTTGGCAGTTGGTTGGTTTTACTGGAGATTTTAAACGAACGCACCTATTATTGAATCATGGATCACTGCGCTAGGTAGAGAAAGAAAAGTGTGTGCTATGACCAGAGACATGTATGTATGTACTTTGTTCATTTAAAACAAAAAACAAGAAATAAAAAGGAACAGTCCAGCGCCTTCGTCTTGGTCTGCAGGCTGTATCGGAGATACAGCCGCTATATTTAAACGTAGAATACGTGGTATGGTTAAGAGCATATCCAAGTCAAAAACGAAATCACACACTAAGAATAGAAAAAGATCCACATTAACTGCAATCAACATATGTACGTATGTATGTATTTACATATGTACACACGCTGCGATTAGGTTATAAATAGCGCGCCTCTGTTTATCAAAAGCCGCATTACATACGCATACATACTTTTTGTCTCCTTCCCACACTTCCAACATATGCACGTGTTTGCAAAATGATGACGAGGTGATTTTGTATGGAAAATCATTTATGCCCATATATTTGAATAAAATAAACATATATAGAAGATATCAACCAATACTTCCCATATACCAAACGAAAGGAAAACTCTTGAATTTTTGATTAAAGAAAACAAAAACAAAATCATTCGAGCGGTTTTCGAGCATTTTGGTAATGAAAAAAATTTGCAAATTTTTTCAACAATTTTTTGCCTTAAAATGCTCAATATTTGTTAAATTTATATAAAATTTGTACCCGATAATATTTCTACTGCTCCAAAGAACCTATATCCCGAAAATGAAAGTTATATATGCCAACAATAAGTTGCTAGAGCAGTTTAAAGGCTCAAAATTGACCCCAAAATAAGGCAATGTTTACCGTTGTTTTTACGACAGAAACCGAATTGGTTATTTACAAAAATGAATCTGTCGACAGGTTTTGAATTTTATCTTTGAAACGCCATACTTTTCTTTGAAATCGCTTTATTAGTTCTCGTGCAATAAGCGTTTTTGTGAAGCTCTAAAAATTACAACTACAACATTTGAACATAGCCCCCATACCTTAAGGTAAGACGTATTCTACGTCAAAAATGCAAATACACTCTTAGGCACAGAGATTGGATCATTTATCATTTCTTGGTTGTATGAATTATATACATACATATGTACATGTTATCCCACCAAACAATTTGTGTTGCCGGTAATAAGAAAACGTGTCGCCCTCGGAAACAAATTTATTGCCGGTAATATTGCCATCGAATCGATTTCCTATTACCGGTCGCTCTAAAACGTCCGCCGAAGGCAACTCGCCTGGGCGAGTCGTTTTCTTATTACCTGAATGAGTCCTTTTCTTATCGCTTCAGGCGATATTTGGAATAATTTTATTCTTTTTAATACCTCATTTATTTTTTTGTATACCAAATTGCAACTTACAATCGGAATTAATTCATTTTCTCGCTGTGAGACTTCCTATTTTTTCAATCTTGTCCTTGGGCATAATTTAGACGCTTTTGGCCAATACTATTGACGCCATATTCATAAGTTTCGGAATTTTTGAGAACTTTTTTATTCAAAATTGACATGAACGAAGTGATGTTGCCGATTTGTCACCACAGCAATAAATCGGTGAGTCGCCAATTTGTTGCCATTGACGATTGTTGCCTATTTCTCATGTTTTGCATGGTGGGTATGTACCAATCAGTTTAATTTCTTAAAAGTAAATTTAAATCATTTAATTACACATGCAAATCTTTAGCAGCTGACCCACATAGTGCGGGTCATTTTTGTTTACAAGTTCCTTGCATAACATTATGCTATTGATACTGTCAATCTTAAATTTATTTCTTAGTTTAGTTTTTATCAAAGAAAGCGTTGAAAATTTGCGTTCTACAGTCGCAGAGCTATGTGGTAATGAAATTATATTAAAAAACAAAATTGGCGAGATACATTATAGAATAGAATATTTTCCCAAAACATCAATATCCAGATCGTTGGAAATATTAAGCTCACTTAGCCTCAGCAAATTCCACTGCGTGGTTATTATATCACGATCGCATCTATGAGTAGACACTTCAAGGGTTCCAGAACAATTGACATTACTTTTCATTAGCATCTCAGCTTTCGTTCCAACAAAAATTTCAGATATTTTAACATGATTATTTTCAACATTAATATGTTAGTGATCGCATCTTTTTTAATAAAGAGATATTGTGCTTTGATAGTTGTATATAAGTTTGGCTTTCAGCTTGGAACTTTTTGTTAAGATTGTTAATTATGGGGAAAATATACAACAGAAATAAAAAATAGAATTTGGTTTTGCAACACATTCCTTCTGCCAAATCTGCAGATGACATACCGTTTACTTCGTAAAAGCGGGAAATAAAATAAAGTTTCAAACTATCTCATTGCTCAACTATTCTTAACCCAACTCTTTCTAGTGAAAGTCATCGTGTTTGAGGTATGCCCAAGATTTTGTGGGGGACGAATCGACAATATAGGACGACAAAAATTTTTACTCCATACGTATTTGACAGATTTCAATGAAATTTGGTATTTAGGGATATTAAATTAAATTTCCAAAATTCACAATGGCGGATCCAGTATGGCGGACGATTTCTTAAAAAGTGCCTATATTGTTATGAAGCTTGGTGTTCAGAGATTTTCGTAGTCACTGCTTTCGAAATTGATATTCAATTTTCAAAAATCAAAATGGCAGATTAAATATGGCGGACGATTTCTTCAAAAATGTATAGACTGTTATGAAGCTTGGTATTTACTCCATATATATCTATGTTGTTGACAGATTTCAATGAAATTTGGTAAGTAGGGATTTTCGTCGTCACTGAATACGAATATTAAATTAAATTTCCAAAATTCGAAATGGCGGATCCAATATGGCGGACGATTTATTAAAAATGTATAGATTGTTATTAAGCTTGGTATCCAGAGCTTTTCGTCGTCACTGATTTCGAAATTGATATTTAATTTAAAAAAAATCGAAATGGCGGATCCTATATTGCGGATGATTTCCTCAAAAATGTATAGACTATTATGAAGCTTGGTATCCAGAGATTTTCGTCGTCACTGATTTCGAAATTGATATTATATTTTAAAAATTCAAAATGGCGGATCAACTATGTCGTCCCGAACAATAGGCGTTTTACTTTTATCGCAATGCATTACCTTAAGCACCATTTGAGCCCATTTTGAATTTAAAAAAATTTAATTTCAATTTCGTAATCAAAGATAACGATGATCTCTGAATACCAAGCTTCATAACAAACTATTATTTAAAAAAAAAGTGATCCGCCATTTTGATTTTTGAAAATTTAAAATCAATTTCGAAATCAGTGGCTACGAAAATCTCTGGATACCAAGCTTCATAACAATCTATACATAAAAAAAATGTCTTGGAGTGCTTGGAGCGTGCTCGCGCTCTGTCTAGCTTCATAACTCCCCGTGGGGTACGTAAATAAGTCACGGCCAGAACATCGGCGTATACACATTTGTCGCTACTCTTTTAAGCCCTGACCCCATGCGACCACTTATGTAACATTTTTTAGTTTTTATTTTTGTATCTAAGTTTGAAGTCAAAGTTATGCTTTTCTTTCTCAAAGTTAACTATAATTACGGTTGCCAGACGTACTGATTTTATCAGTACAGTACTGATTTTTCAACTCTTGTACTGATTTCATTAATTTCTTCAATCAGTACGCTAATGTCCTGATTTTTCAAAATTTGTACTAATTTGTATTGAATTTTCAATTGAAACAAAATACTTTATGATTTTCTGAAGGTTTTTACATAACGTTGCAACTTTCTTAAACTGCACTGTGAAAAGTAATACAACAAAATTATTAATTGTTTTATGGGCATATCGCTGGGTCGTAACGTACGAGTGCGATAATATGATGGAGCTTAAATTATCTAAAAAGAAGGCTGACTTTTTTGTCGAGTGTTGTTAGTTATCTCGAAAATATCTTTCAGTTTAATAACAGCAAATTTGAATATTCGAATAGCTTTTGCCTATAACTTAAGCTGCCTTTAGATGAGGCGATGTTTTGGGAGGCAATAATCGCCTGCAAATTTGACTTTCTGTCTACTGTGAGGCAACCGATTTTTGAATCACCATTTACAGGAGCGATTTTTCATGCGCAATGTTGAATCGCCTAAAAAATCACCTCATATAAATTCAGCTTTACAATTCTTTTCTCTCAATTTACTGATATTGTGAAAGAGTTTTGCATACAAGACATAGAGTTAGATACTTTTTTTAACCAATTCTTAGTCTTTCCGTGATGAAATAAAGATGAAGTCTGTAAAAATTGGTACTTTTCCACACTTTGAAAAAATATGTAATTTGTTTTTTTTTTTTGTTTAAATACCACAGCAACTGAGAGGATCTTAAGTACAAGGTTTGCTTCCTTGCGCAAAGAGAGAAACCGGCTTCTAATTAAAATTTTTGAAACTGAACTTCAAATTAAAAGTAACTTTATAATTAAATTTATAGAATGTTTTGACTATTTAAACACTGAAAATTGAAATGATCTCGTTATTGCTATTCAGAAATGTCATAAATATAAAATAATTTATTGGCTCCTGTGTACAGTGATGTTTACACTCATGTTAAAATGAATAAATTTTTTTTTTTTATGAACTATATTTTAATTATATACCAAAATATTGTTAAAAATAAGAACACTGGCGTCTTAAAGTATTATCTGTTACTTACATTCATAATTTCGCTTTGAATAAAAATGTACTGAAAAGTACTGATTTTTTTAGCATGAAAAAGTCTAACGTACTGATTTCCCGCATAAAAAATATGGCAACCCTAACTATAATAAAGAGCTTTAATATTTATGACAATATACATTTCGTTTTATTTATTTAGTCACGGTCGCTTGAGTGCTGACCCCATGCGCCTATTAACGTAACATTTTTTTAAGGGGAAGTAAGTTTTAATGTTTTTTTTTTTAAGTTTGAAGTCGAAATTGTGTTTTTCTTTTTTCAAGTTAACAATAATATTTAGTGTGCTTTAATATTTTTGTTAATACACACTTCGTTTTTATTTTGAAAAATCTTTTTTCAACACTTTTATTGGGGTCACTGGGGATCCCATGCGACTAATTGTGTGATTTTCTTTATGCGCTCAATTAGGGGTAAAATTTGCATCGTCTCCTGCATCCACTCCACAAAAGGTGCTACTTTGGTAAAAACACATGGAAAATCTATTTGGCCAAATGAAATGATTCCAATCAAAAAATAATGGTTGCGTCCTGTGCTTGCCCTGCGTCGTACCATGAGTGGTCCACCCGAATCACCATGCTCCAAATTCACATCTTTACCGCTAGCACACATTTGCGTGCTCCCCAGTTGAACACGGAGAGGACGATAGTCATGACGACACTTCTCCAACGACACTCCGGTTAGTTTAGCATTCAATTCAACATTAGACTTTAACTCTACATCGCCCCAACCAGCCACTTCCATGATTTCATCATCGAAAGTGTCGGTAAGTAAATTGTCCATTGGCAAGCAAATGGGTCGTACGAAGTCTGTGAAAGTGACGGTTTCTTTCAAACGCAAAAGTGCGATGTCGTTAATTTGATTTTGCGAAAGAGGATTATATTGCGGATGTGGTATAGCACTTTCAATGGGCACATCGATATGTCTTGGCGCACAATCCTTTTCACCGCGTGCATCAACTTCACAATCAGGATTTGTTGTGGTATCCCATTCGCCCAAGCGCACTGAGGTTATCTGCCATTCGCTAGGCAAAGTTATACCATTGACGCAATGCGAAGCAGTCACAACGTAACGAGAGTTGATCAGTGAACCGCCACAGAGATGACCGGTATAACCGAATGCTGGAAAGAAAGACATTTTTTATGTTAGACTGTGGATAAAATTAAGTGTACTTTGTGGGAAAATTGAAATGTATGTATGGCTTTTTTAAACTACTAAGCTAATCGTGAGACATTTCATTGAGTTCCAACATCGAAATCCGGCATATGAAAGTTTTCCCAATAGCTTGCGAACAATTAAAGGTACCTCCATTTGTATGAGAAAACTTGGATTTTCGCCCCAATTAGACACGTCAAGTCTTCAAGTCTGCTCGTTCGTAGGCGAAGGAGGTGAGACGAATGTACTTTTCCCCTCTCTTCTCACCTCCTTCGCCTATGAACCGAGCAGACTAGAAGGCAATAATTGACGTGTCTGAAAGGGGTCTTAGGTCGGTATTATACAGAAATTATTATGTTTGGCAAACTGCGTGCAATTCGTAGATACCAAGTTTGGCTACTCTCGCAGCAAACTAATTTTGTTGGGCCAAACTGCTGTAAAATTAGTGTTGTTATACACAAAAATTGCAGTAATACTAAAAGACAGAGAACTGAATATATGCTGTAGGAGCTTCAAAGTTTAGGGCACAGTTCATTGCTTATACGATATTATAGAAAAAGTAAGTGCGCCTGGGCCACACTGGAGAAATGAAACTTACGTTAAATACATATCTGTTTTGTGCCATAACCAATATACATACATACATATGTACATACATACATACATCTGTTTTTGCTAAAGGTTATATTTGTTGTCGTTTTTCTGTCTATATCCTTGCCTCTACCTCTGTTCGTTCTAATTACATTTATGTTATTCTGTTTTTCATTATGTTAATTTCTATCTTTATACACTATCGATGACAAAATTGATAGTAACATCCAATAAAATATCGATAACAAAACCGATAAAAATATCGATAATAAAATCGATAAAAATCGATAAATATCGATACAAAATCTATAAATATCGATGATAATAAAATCGAAAAAGATCGATAACAAAATCGATAAGTATCGATAAAAAAACGATAAAAATATCGATAACAAAATCGATGAAAATATCGCTAACAAAATAGTTAAAAATGTCGATAAAAACATCGATAACAAAATCGATAAAAATATCGATAACAAAATCGATAAAAAATATCGCTAACAAAATAGTTAAAAATATCGATTACAAAATCGATAACAAATCGATAAAAATATCGATGACAAAATCGATAAAAATGTCGATAACAAAACCAATAAATATATCGATAAGTCCCGAAAATTTCTAAAATCCCAAAATAATTCCCAGATTGAGTCTGTGTCTCTCTCTATACCCTTTCCTCTTAAATAACCTTTACATACATATTTCCCTTCACGTTTGCCCTTATATGTATATATAAGTAAAGTGTTTAAATTTACCTTGGCCTTCATTTTTGCCTTTATCTTTACGCATCTTTGTTTTTGTTTTTATTTTTGCCTTTGCATGTATCCTTTTCTTTATCTTTGTACGTAGTCACCTTTACTTTCATTCTTGTATTGGCCTTTTTCTAAGTGTTATTCTTTAACCTTTTATCAGCAAATTTTAGTTAAATTAATACCATATGCATACACACAAGAAGCACTTGTTTCATCCCCAACCATTTCCGTTGCATCATTTCCGTTAACCTTTTATTAGCAAATCTTTGTTAAATTAATACCGTATGCATACACACAAGAGGCACTTGGTTCAGGCCCAACCATTTCCGTTGCACCATTTCCGAGTGCAATTTCCGTTGAATTTGCCAATTTACTCCCAACCAACCAACCGCCGCTAAAGAAGTTTCACTTAAAAAATGTTACAATATCACAGTATCTACCAGAGTTATTGCGAGTATTCGCATTCGCAACCGCGGAGCTTCCGCATTAATTTTAACATTCGGATATTTTGCGAATGCGAATACTGTCTAAAAGAGGAAAGCCACACATTGAAAAATATTTCAATGAAAAATGTTAATTGATTACCATAAAACAACTATTGGGTCAGGTAAGTATTTACATGAATTTCTTTAGTACTAAGTTATAAAAAAATATAAATAGAGGTGGTAACCTTCATTAGTTATTTCTGTTTAAAAGCTATTTCAGTCCCCTTCCATATGATACCAAATTTGTTTAATTTGGATAAGCAATTTTTTTATTATCCGGATGGACATTTATTTCGGAATAAAAAATATTAGACCAAGTTTAACTCAGGAAAAAATAACTTTTATTTTCGGTCCCTGGTATATTGTGCAAGTGCACAGACGTATATTTAACCAATGACAGAAGAAAGCATTAAAAATGAGTTTTAAAAACTAAAATCGAAAAACGCTGATGACGTGACAAATTCCGAAACAACCCAAAGAGTGAGAATGAAGAATTCTTTCGAAAATACGGTGTTTAAACAACGATTGTTCCATGATGCTAGATTTTGAAGATGAAAGTCAGGAGGATACATCCGACATTTGCAGCCCCGATGATATTCTCAAAACGTAATTATTGCACCGCAATAATAATAAATAAATATAACTGAAAGTCCTCTCAACTGGTGCAGTGTCTATCGAAAAGAGTTTACAATTCTGCCAAGTTTCAAGTTTTTCAAGTTTGTCGCCTCGAGCGAGTAGTTATATAGTGGCGCAGGTTTGATTTACGACCCTTCAAAAAGTTTTTATTAAGTGCCATGTTCCAATTATTAAATTCAAGTACTAAAAAAAAAAACATTCAGTCTTATCATGAGTTTAATTTTCCCCGAACCGGTTCACTTTTCACTTTTGGTTTTCATGTACATATTTACTATGGGCGGAATACAAATTTTCGGGTGAATTTTTTTTCGGGCAAAACTCAGGATAAGGCAGATTATTAAAAATTATTAACCTTTCCATTTTTTATTTACCAAAATCACCTGATTTACCCACCTAAATTATTTCTTAAAAATACATTACATCCGCATTCGCATCCGCATCCGCGGATGTTAGCTCTTAAACATCCGCAACCGCGGGTGCCTGAAATTCGACATTCGCAACATCCCTAGTATGTACATATGCAATCTTCATTTCGTGTTGGCAATAAAGCATAAAAACCACGTAACCACCTCAAAGCCAAACAAAAGTTTGTCTGCATAGCTCCGCCCTTATAAATATTTTTGGCCATATACCAGTGTTGCCACTTTGTGAGTAATTCCTCAAAACGTGAGGGATTTCGGGTGAGGAGTTTCCTCTCGATATATATGCAGATAACAAATGCAACCACGTTTTACACAAGAGAGTTGTTAAGTCGGTCTGCAAATTTTTAAACAAAAAAACTTTCCGAAGTTTTATAAAGAGCGAAATACACCACACAAGCGGCTTGTCAAACATTCTTCAAACCGACGTTTTCCACTTCGCCATACACCATAAAAACATTACTCGTTCTGTTACGAATGAGTCGATTTTACCATACACAACGTAAGCAGTTTGATCAAACGTCAACATGGCGGCCAGAAAATCAAAAAAATTTTAATTTTGTTCACATTTCCCTCAAACGGCTTGTCAAACCTTCAAACACCCCCATACATAACATAAATATTTAGCTTTATGCAAAGAGATATTTCGCTTGGTTTGTTTTTCGCTCTTAAGCACATCTGAATTTGCTGCTAAATATTCAAAATGTTATCGATAATTTTTCTCATTCAATCGTTATATTTGGAACTTGCAAAATATCGGTAACGAACAGAGAGAATACGCATTGTTCGATCATGAGGATATTCATATTGATTCTTCATTAGATCCAGAAAATTATAGGAAAAACGTTTTTGAATTAAAAAATTCTTCAGGTTCAAATAAGTTTCCCAATTAAATAAAATTATATCTGCATTACTAATACAGCCCTTTTCTATTGCTCCAGTAGAACGTGTATTTAGTAGTTTAAAATGTGTAGGACTGACTTGAGGACCACATTGAGCACTGCGGCAATATTATATAAAAACCAAGGCATAAAAAATAACGGTGATACTCTGTTTGAACCGCAAGAACAAATGTGCCAATTGAATTGGAGATTGTAGTTAATTTTTATACTAAGTACCTCTAGTATGCAATAATCATATCTGTAATAAGAATATTTTTAGTAATTTGTTCCGATTTTGAGGATTTTTCATTTGTTTTTGAGGAATTTGGTAATTTTTTGTGGCAACACTGCCATATACACAAGAGTAGCACGATTGAGAGAAATAGAGGTTGCACTAATCACGGTACCGCTATTCCTCTCTCAGTGAATTTGACAGAATCGTTGTTTTTACGACGTCACACTTGTGCAATTTGTTTACGTTTTCCTTGCAACATTTTTTTCTTCTTCCATTATTGCTCACATTTTGCCATTTCTCTCTCGCAATTGCACACAAAAGTTATTCTCAAAAATCCTCTCTGATAGACGCAATCTTGTATTCTATCATTCTTGCAGGAGTAGATTCTGGACAGTGTTGCCATTTTGCCTCTTGGGAGCTAGATTAAGCTCTTTATTTTCCTATTTAGCTCCGAAAATTGGGATTTAGCTCCTAGATCTTTTTTTAGCTCTTTGCAAAATTATCTAGCACTTTTTTAGCTCCAGACGGTTTTAGTTGTATTTGGTAATATATTAAAATTAAAAATCTGTAATTTCACTGTACAAGTGTTGACTAAAATGTTTTTGGTTTTGGTGATCCCAGGCTATTTTCGATACCTTCATGTTATTCTCGATTGTAAATTCGATTAATACTTAGAAAAGTTCCACTCCTAATGCAAATGGAAAATGGGCAAGTAAGTCGATTAGTTTCTACCACGTGCGCGGGAGCACACAAAATATACCGGCCAGTAATTTGAGCTCCGATAAGCTCAGACGGTGCATTCTCTCTCAGGCGGCAACGGTAGAAAAGGAAAGCCAAAACGTACGCGTTTATAAAATTACAAATTTCAAAATGCAGTGGAAAACATACATTTGTATTCACGGGAAAATATAGACCCCAGCATAAACTCTTGAATCAAGGGTAAAGTATTCAAATTGATTAGAAGAAAATCCTCTTTCTGAACGCGCGGATTTTGTTTTTACCGTACTAATTTTATCTTAAGGAGCGAAGGAAAAAAAACTTTTTAGAAAAATTTTGCGAAAAACGATTCGTATCCCGAGTTTTTATGGTCAATCAAAATATCTGAAATTGCAGATTTTAACAGTTGGTAGAGTATTTTTAGTTCATCGTTTAGTTTACATACATAAGTATATGTATACATACATATAAGTGTAATAAGTGCCATAGCAATGAATTCGAAATATATGGACCTTGTTTTGGTTGTAAAAGTTTTTTTTTCAGCACTAAAACTTATAAAATTCGTTATATTGAAAAACTATCATCTGTTTAGCACAAAATGTAAACAAACAAGCAAGTGCAACAACAATTTCAAGGAACAAGCAACAGTGCTGCCGATTGTTTGGCATATTTAAACAAAGTTGATCTGAAACCCAACAAAAGTTAAATGGCATTTAAACTACAATCCACAATTAAACTTAAGTGCCATTTAAATATTCATTTGAAATTGGCCATTAATATTATTTAGCTATTTTTTTCTGACAACACTGGTTCTGGAGGTGAAATGTTTTTGAAAAAACAAAAAATTAATGCAGCAGACATTCCCTTTCGAATCCAAGTAGTTTCAATTAGACATTGGAATTTTAACTTAAATATTTCATATTTGCGACGTCGAGTATGACGTCATGGGACAATCAGTCGTAGCCAAGCTGAAGCCCACGGTCACTTTAAAAATATTGTATCACATTCGGTTGAAAACTATACTTATAAAATCGAAATGTAACACTGATCAGACAGTGTTAGGCATCCACCCAAAACGAAATAAATTGCATAAAAATACTTCTACCTAACAACTCGCAACAATATCTTCCATTCTTTATCTATGAAATTTTGTATTATATTATGTAACTTACGTTTTGTGTATTCTAACAAAGCCATCCAAGGATATTCAACATATGCTTGAGACGATCGCAAAGATTTCTTGGCATCATTAGGGTAGTTGAACTCTGAAAGATATTGAATTTTTTTTTTTTTAACATAATATGTATGTAATATGCAGAAATACGATAATCTAAAAATTTTAACTAATATCGGTTTTGCACTTGCCATTGAATGACAAAAAATGCAATTGCAAAATTGGACATAAAAAAATAGTTCTGGCATTGTGTTCAGAAAAATAGTTCCTTTCCTCAAAGAATTTTTACATGTCACGATTTTTTCACATCTTAATGCTTAGTGGAAATCCGGAATAAATTTTTTTATTCAAAAACATTTTATAAAATATTTTGTATGTTTCTAGAGCTCCTGATATTCTGGCTGCAGCTAAGATTCGACTCAGTTACACGTAAATAATTCTGCAATCGCATCATCCGAATACTATTTTTTTTCATCAAACAAATTACGGGCAAGACACCACTCAGTAATTTCTTTTTCGAAAAAAATCACCAAAGCGTATTAGACCCTTAATTATCATTATTATATCATTATTTAGTTATACCAAATATTCTTAATAATGTGGTCTAGTGTGCGCCGCCATTCTTCTCAAATGTGGAGGATTTGACAAAACCGTATTAAAACTATGTACATGATTTAAATGTATACATATGTATGTAGTATGTTCGTAATACTTACGCGCTGCCGGCAAACCGCTGGAAAATGCTTTCATCAAAAGGGCACTCAGTAAAACTTGTCCTAACATTTTGAAGTCGCTGTGATCACTGGTTTTACCAGAGAACGTTTATAAATGAGAAGGCGCATTTCCAGTGGGAGCTTTTTGCCATACAAAATTTTGAGTTGCGGTCCAGCAAATACACTACTCGTCGACGGAATGTCGGCTGCCACCATCAGTGTTGCCAGAGAAAATTTCGTTTGGAGCTAAAACGGTCGAAAACAAGAGCTAAATAATACTAATAGTAGCTAAAATGAAGAGCTACATATTCTTGTTAAGGTTGAGGTTTATTGACGTAAGGTTGTTTTTACATTTTCGCCAATTTTAATAAAAACAACGAATTTTATAAGTTTAGGTGCTGAAAAAATCTTTTAACACCAAAATAAGATGCATATATTTCGAATTCGTGGCTATGACACTTATAACAGTGAACTAAAATTACTTTACAAACTGTTATGGTCTGATTATGCATACTTCGCATAACTTCGCATAAACTTCAAATTGTAATTTCGTATGTACTTTGTATGTATTTTGTATGCATTCCATTACCCAGAAATTAGCAGAACTTTTCAAAACTTAGCGATCTGCTTAGTTTAGATTTTGCTTCACGATTTCTTAAGATACATTTTTATTGCACTGGTACAAATGGTTGTGCGAAGTTATGCGAAGTATGCATAATCAGACCTTTAACGTCTGTAATTTCAGATATTTGAATTGAATAATTTTTTCGCAAAATTTTTCTTGAAAGTTTTACTTCTAGCTCTCCTTAAAGGTAAAATTAGGAATGTAAAACAAAATCCGCGCTATCAGAAAAAGGTTTTTCTTTTAATTAATTTTTGAATTCTTTAACCTATATCCAAGAGTTTATGGTGGATACACTGCATCTCGAAATTTTCAATTTTATCAACGCTTAAGTTTTGGCTTATATATACCAAATGCAACTAAAACTTCTGTTCTAAAATGTCAAATTGAAGAAATCTGGGTCAGCCAAGTGAAAAGTGGCACATATTTATCTTCTTCTTCTATTTATAAACGTTCTTCTTCCATTAATAAACGTTCTCTGATACAGGAAGGCAACTAACGAGGCGCTAAGTAAGATACCTTGCTACGAACGCTAGGAAGCGTGACAAATGAGGTATATGTGCATACATACCAAGAATGATAGAATCATAGTTGCCAACTTGGTGCTTTAAGCACTAGATTTAGTGCTTTTTGAAAATTAATTAAATTAAATAAAAAATTATTTAGTGCCCAGTGCCTTTGTTAGTGCTTTTTTTTTGAACCCAAATTACTCCGATATAGTTAAGACCTGAAATAATTTTTAAATATTCAAAGCTGTGGCAGCACTGAATTTTCAAAAATCTACAATTTTAAATGCATTTAAATACAACCATGATTGATAAAAGGCTGAACTTGCAAACCCACCTTGTTCAATTCTATTCGCCTTGAAAATGCCAGTAGATATGCGAGCAAATTAAGTATTTCTTTTTTTCTTTTCTAATTATTTGTAAAAATTTTTATTTTTGTACCACCTGAGTAAAACACATCGTTTCTTATTGCTGAATCCAAATCTGGCCGCACAATTGCTCTAATACTAGAATTTTCAGATATTCTACCCCCAGATTACGAAGAACACGTGTTTTTGCGATATTTGAGGTTATATAATGAAAAAATGAATTTTGTTTGCTTATTTCTACTTATGGCATGATTTTCGTTTGTTGGGATTCGGGTACTTCGGTATTACGTCGTAAGCATGAGTCATTATAGCATGTGGCTTTTCAATCGTTATGAGCGAAAAAGTTTTGTTTATTAATTTATGTATGCATCCTTGTAAATATTTTTAATTTTTTTGTTTTTGTTAAATACAAACTGTTAGGAAAAAAGCATCCTTTGATTAAAAAAAATTTGGTGCTTTTAGTTTGGTAAAACGCTTTTTTTCCAAGTTTTTGGTGCTTTTTGAAAATGAAAAGTTGGCAACACTGGATAGAATATTTAAAGAACATTCTTTGGCTTTTCTCGCGAGCAACATTCATTATTGGTTTTTAGTCCCTTCGTCGAGCAGTGCATTTTATATTCCAAACAAAAACCCATATACATATTTACAATTGTTTATGTATGTATGAATTATTATTAAGTATCTAAATATAAAATAAAATTATTTATGTTGTCAAATTAAAATAAACTCTAATTAAAAATATGCGTATGTATACTATATTAAGTATCATTCAGTTGACTGCCTACGGCTGAATTGTGGCTTGAATCCAATCCATAAAATCGCCTACTCTGGTGTAGACACCAGGCCAACCCTCCAGGCCGCAGGGAGTTGGTCCGAAAGATACTACACCCGCTAAAAAGTAGTACGATAATGCTTTCTTTGCATTATCTAAGCTAACCAACGGTCCACCAGAGTCGCCGCGGCATGAATCCACTCCCTCTTTTCCACCAGCGCATATCTGTGTTGATTCTAGCCGAATATTTTCGGTTGCATACTTTTCTCCGCATTTGCTCAGTGGTACACCGGCCACCTCTGCTTTCAATTTCAGTGTGCTAGTCGATTCCTTCTCCGTTTTGCCCCAACCAGCTACATCCATGACAATGCCATCGAAAGTAGCCGATCGTAGATTGGCCCCCACCGGCAGACAAATGGGACGAATGAAGTCTGTATATTGAACATTTCTATTGAGTCGCAACAATGCGAGGTCGTTAACTTGACTTCTGGAGTCTGGATTATATTGTGGATGTGAAATTGCGTTCTCTACTACCACATCAATATACGGAGGTGCGCAATCCTGTTCGCCACGTACATCAATCTCACAATCAGGATTGGTGGTTGTATCCCATTCGCCAAGACGTACACCGGTCAGCTGCCAATCTTTAGGGATTGCTTTGCCGTTGACGCAATGTGATGCTGTGATAACGTAGCGTGAATTGATGAGCGAACCGCCACAATGATGTCCTTTTCTACCGCCAGCTGTGAAGAAGGCGTGAATTTTAGTATTTTTTTTTTTTTTGTTAATTTTATGCTTGTATTTACGTTTTGTGTACTCGATCAGTGCCATCCAGGGGAATTCGTCAATTTTCGTCGCGTTACCACCGTATATGCGATTCGACAAGACATTGCCGCACTGGCCTGGCTGTGGCAGCAGATTACTAGGCGTAACAGGTGGTGATTGGGTGGTAGATGCAGTCGAAGGTATTTTAATGAAATTTCGGTAACGATCAGGACAACAAATCTAGAGAAAGATAGTTAAGGCGTTTTTACTTTACGTATCTAAAAAAAATTGCTATAAATAAATAAAGACTTATGCATAAAACATTGCACACTTCCTTTAAAAAAAATGTTTGCAATATAGCAAATACTTACCAAAACTTTGCCATTTTGGTAGCCACACTGGCTACGGCTCAAATATAGTCGATCTGAATCCTGAAGCGGGGTTGTAAGTAGCAAGTTGAACAAGTATTTGCAATCGTCCAGAATGATGCAGAGGGCGCGCTCACGGTTCGGTGTGATACAACGTCCAAAATTGGGTACATCAGCATCCTCATTGGGAAAGTAAAATTCTGTGGGCCACAACAAAAAATTTAAGTAAAGGGTAAACAGAAATTCTTCCATATAAGTACATAATACTCGTATTCATACATATGTACATGAATACATATTTAGTTATGGATATGCATACAAACATGAATAAATATGTACATATCGATGGTTCTCTACAATAACGACAGAACTCAAAATTCATAAATCAAAACCCTTAATATTGTTAAGCGTTTTATGTCTCTAATCCTTGTCTAATCCAGGTATTATCCTTACTTAGGTAAGTAGCAAGGATCACTAAATAAAGTAATAAGAATTAGGCAAGGATTCGAGACAGGAGGCACTTAACTAGTTAACTATAGTAAGGCATTTTTTTTTTTAATTTGAATTGTGCCATTTTTGCAGAGGACCAACGATATGTGACAAAGTATGTTAGAATGCAGTGAAAAAGCGGATGAGTTTCAATATATCGTCACCATCAATGCCACAGGCCCCAATTAGCAATGTTTAAACTTTTATGAGATGCTAAATAACAAATTCTTAAATTAACACAGAAAGTTCTTTCAGAGCTCATCTGTTTCGAAATTTGGTTTTGGGTATATGTATCTTAAAGAAACTGACGGAATATACATACAAACATACATATGTAGTAAGGTGTCAAAAAACTTGCTTTTACAAAATTAGTTGTGTTTTTTTACAAATTATCCAGTAACTTGCCAGCAACTCTCCAGTAACTTTATTTCTAAGAATTCGCTCTCATAGAAAAAATTTGCAAAAAAGTACGCGAACGCTTTTCCAGTAATAATTTGCAAGTTTCATGAACAGCTGATAAATTGGTTGTTTATTCGCGGCAAATTCCTAATAAAACAATATATTTTGTATTTAAATAGGTTTATTTTGTGAAATTCAACAATAGGCGTGTTCGTTATGCAACTGCCAGTAAGAATTAGCCAGTAACAAAATTCAGAGAATAAGGTACCTTACTCTCCCAAAGAGAGAAACTTACTAAGTTTTGCGCGAACAGGAATTAGCAAACATTTGCAAGCTTCGAGCATAATAAATTTTTGAAATTATTTCAGGTGGAATTGAAAACAGGACCTATACCTATATTTCTTCTTATTCTGACTTTCTTCAACATGCGCTTCAATTTCTTTGTGGAAGTCACTGTCGAATTTCCTATATCGACAGCGGTGTCGAGTTCGTTCCAAATACGAATACAACTTTTTCAGCCGGGTACCTTTCAAACGTTTGGAATTAATTAAATTAATTGAATAAACAAATATTTCATACTTCTTTCATTAGTCAATCACAACAAGATTGTTAATTTTTAAATTTAATGAACTTGTTGATTCAAATTAATGTTGACAAAAATGCAACCGTGTGCTACAATCCTGCTTGCAAATTCTTACTGGCAAAAATTTTCCCAGCACGAATTTGCAACTTCCCCTCCAAATGAAATGTCAAAATTGTGCTCTCTCCTTGCAATTTTTACTGGGTTTTTGGCTAAACGAATACGATTTGGTAACAATTGGTACCAACTTGTACAAATTTTTTGCATAGCGAACACTCCTAACAAAAACCCACAAACAGTTTCCTTATAAGTTTAAATTTCATACAGCAATATGCGAGCTGTTTTTCGTAATGGCAAATTCTTACAAGTAAAAATTTATCCAGTAAAATCCAGTAAAAACTTGCAACTTCAACTGTCATTCTTCGCTCTCTCAATTTCCCCTACTTTGCAAGTTTTTGCGTACGAAAACGCCAAAACATGAAAATTCGTAAAAACTTTTACTGGATTTTACTGGAAATGAGTATAAAAACGCAACTATTGTAAATTTTATTGCGGATTACGGTAAAATACCCATTCAGTAAAAATGTTTGTTCGAAAAACTTTTTTCTTTAGAACTGCAGTTAACAAAACGAAGATTTTTGTTATGTTCGCTATATTCGTTTGGACAAAAGACTTGT